AAACAATTAACTAAATATGGCACTCTCTCCGAGTTAATGCACAGGCACAACTATTGAGGATCCTGTCAAATTAACTATAACAAACACGGTAGTTGAAACAATAAGGAGATTATACTGGCAAACTAATATTAACATAATCAGAAGTTTATCTTCAATAGTGTTCATCAAAACCTTAGACTAAAGTATTTAGCTACTCATAAAAAACAAAATCAAAAAAAATTCATATTCAAAGTAAAGAACAAAGAAGAAGATTAAAGATTGAATGCCCATGATCCTCCTTGCTTCTTTGCCCCTTCCTTATGATGTTTCATTCCAAAAATCCTTCTCAATTGTTTGCTGTTGGCCGCCTCCCTCGTTTAATATAGGGTTTAGGGCTTAAAATCTTCATATTTTTGCACTTTAGTCCCCCTGAAATTTATGCGTCTGCCGGTCCACCGCGGTTACGCTAAGGACGGCGTGCCAGAATGGTCCTCTGAATCTTTGGTAAATGATCTGCCACGGTCCTAACCGCGGTATACGTAACCGTTGATTTTTCACCCTGTCCTTTTTGGAATTTGGAAAAACGTAATCCAAAAGTTGTGCCCTTTGAGCTAAGATTTCCAACCGTATATTGTGGAGACCAAATGGAGTTCTGAGCAAAAAAGTTATGTCTATTTTTACTAGAATTAGTGCACAATATGCCCTCCTCGAGTCTCGTTTTTGTTGTTTTATCATCCGTTGATCCCCGAAATATCTTACGATCCCGGCTTAATTCCTTGGGCTTTTACTCAGACTTCAAAGCTCCAAATCACTTGAAATTCATTCCATAAACATCTATAATATCTCGGAATTCACTCTACAAGGCATAAAACACACCGTTAGTGCAAAACAGCAAAGCGATTAAGCGCAAACCAACTAAAGTGCCAGTAAATTAGAGTGTAATAAGCGACAAAATATCAATTATAGCCTATCATCATATTTCCTCCGCGATCGGCGATTCATTAATTCGCACTAGTGATTTATAAAAGTACTATATTCTCGGAGTTTGGGCCATTTTAATCATATTTGGAGCTAAGGAGCTCAGATTGAAGTGTGATTTTTAGGCGATTTTTTACCACATGGATTGGGGTAAAGGTTTCTCTCTCTATTTTGATTATATTTCACGAATCTATCTTCTATTTGTGGCAAGTTGGTTTGATGAATTCAAAAGGAATATTCGAGGATTTTGTTTAAAAGTTTCAAGAGTGAATTTTGAATTTTTGAACATCGAATTTGGGGTGGGATTTGAGTAAACTAGTATGGTTGGACTTTGTAATTGAATGGGTTATCCGAATTTTATATTTTGTGATGGTTCCGAGGTGCAAGCCTGGTTTTGACGTTTTTGGTTGACTTTTAGCTTTTTATTAAGATCGACCGTTTATTATTTGGAATTATTTCCCTTAGGCTTATTTGATGTAATTGGAGTTGGCTTTTGACTAGTTTCGAGTCGTTCGGAGGTCGTACACATGTGATCGGCTCCAACCTATAACCTATAAAATGGCAAGAGTGGTTCGATGCAACTTTTACCCCGAAAGGTCGGGATAGATATCCCAAGGAGTAATAATTGGTTGGGAGTTTGGTTCATATCCAATCTAGCTAATGCGTGTTGCCTCTTATGTGCACTTCTAAACATGTTTGGATTTAATTACTAATTTCTACTTTTTAATGCATTGATTGCTGAAATAAACTAAGTACAATATTTTTTGTAGGGTTTTCCTCAATGATAAAAGCACTAGGGAAGTGACTTACACCTAGGCGATATCCCTTAATGAGGTCTAGAATTTAGCGAGCCTTCTAACTAATAAGTCAACGTTCGGTTGACTTTTCCAAACCAAACCTTCCTTAAAGAGACTAAGTGTCTCATTTCCTATCCAAACCAATTCAATTCAACTCTAACTCACTCGTTGCTGATAATAAAACATGAAAGAGCAATAAATGGGGGAAACGGGGTTGTAATACATGAGACGACGGGTTGGGTCGTCACATGGGTCCCAGATTAGCGACCAAAGTTGGTCTCTATCTGCTTCCCCTTTCGTAAGCGACCAACTTTGGTCGCTAATTTTGAATTATATTTATTTATATTTTATAATTCTTTTTAAATAATAATATAATTATTAAAATTTTATAACTGGGTCCCAGATTAGCGATCAAAGTTGGTCTCTATCTGCTTCCCCTTTTGTAAGCGACCAACTTTGGTCGCTAATTTAAATTATATTTATTATATTTATTATTTTTAAATAATATATAATATTAAATTTATAACTGGGTCCACNATTTTAGTGTATTCATCCCTTGTATTACAAAAGTGTTAACGGATTACATTTATATTATTTAGATAGTAAATACAAAAGTGATTTTCAATTTTGACCAATGTTGACCTGAAAAGAGACCAACTTTGGTCGCTAATTATCTAGAAATTAAAATTAGCGACCAAAGTTGGTCGCTAAATTTAAATCAGATTTATTTATATTTTATATAATATTTAAAATAATAATATAATTGTTAAACGTTAGAACTGGGTCCCAGATTAGCGACCAAAGTTTGTCGCTATCTGCTTCCCCTTTCGTAAGCGACCAACTTTGGTCGCTAATTTTGAATTATATTTATTTATATTTTCTAATTTTTTTAAATAATAATATAATTATTAAAGTTTTACAACTGGGTCCCATATTAGCGACCAAAGTTGGTCTCTATTTGCTTCCCCTTTCATAAGCGACCAACTTTGCTCGCAAATTTTAAATTATATTTATTTATATTTTATTATTTTTTAAAATAATAATATAATATTAAAATTTTATAACTGGGTCCCACTTTAGCGACCAAAGTTGGTCGCTAATTTCAGTATTTCTTTGACCAAGCAAGTCTGACCAGTCCGGTCAATATTTTGACCACATTATCGACCAAAAAGCGACCAACCTTGGTCGCTAATGTATTTAGAATAATTATTTAATTATTTTCTCCAATTTAGCGACCAACTTTGGTCACTTTTCTTGACAGACCAATTTTGGTCGCAAAATTTTGGTTGTTTTTTTCCGGATTTCTAGTAGTGTAACACCGGCAAGAATGGTATCAAAAAAGAAAAATAGAAGAAATGGTTAATTTTTTCATGTAGTTAATATCCAATGATTATCTATATTTACTAAGAAAGTGTAAATTTTAAGATTATTTACATACAATTCATATAATTAAATATTTGACATGATTAGTGTCCGCGAATCCGCGCGGGTACTAATACTAGTACTTGAGAAAAGAGACCAGCACACGAAATTGCAGCTACTGATGCTCTTCGGTCGCCCATGATTTCTATTAAATTTTGTGAATTCACTTAAAGTTTAAATTATTAGATGAAACGGAAATGCTTTTATTTATTTATTCTATGATTAAAATACGAGCGTTTAAGTGTAATTAAATTTTTTAATGTGCAAGTAAACCCTTATAAGACTTAAATGTTGAGCATAAAAAGGCCCTTGGAAGATTGATGAGATTTCTAACTAGAATCCCTATTTTAACCTAACCACGCAAAATTCAAGTTGGAATTTCAAAAAATATAAATTCCAAAGTAAAAGTAGAAAATACAATTGATCTTCTTTCAGTAAGTGGATAGTTCACAATATGAATAAATATTTTTGCTTCTTCAGCACTTTCTAAGGTCCAATAACGGAGTTTTGAGATTTTTACGGTAAATCACCTAAATCTGTGTTTGATAAAAGATTTAAGCATAAATTATCAACATTCAAATAATATCATTTTCTATTTTTCAACACCAAATAAGTATTTCAAGCTATAAAAATTGAATAACCATGGTGCTCTAGTCAAAAATGGATAAGACCAATTAAAACGGGGACATTCCGCTAAGGCCAGTTCCTTTGAAGGATACGCCATGCAAATTTTTGTATTTTAACCTAACTACGCAAAATTCATTAAATGCGTTGATTGGCAACTTCGTATGACATTCAAATAATCCTTTTTCCGTTTTCTTAATTAAAAAGAATTATGATAATTCTGTAAGAAAAATGCACTTACATTACTATTAAATATTTTATTTTTATTTAAATGTTCGAGTTTTTTTTATGGTTCTTTACTATTATATGATGTGTTATTCGAGCCCGTTAACTTAATATATTGTTGTTAATATTGTTTGCTACTTGTTATTTTATCTCCACTGTTCCTTGAGTCGAGGGTCTATCGATAACAGTCTCTCTATCTTTATAAGGTAGGGGTAAGGTCTGTGTACACACTACACTCGCCAAACCTCATTTATGGGAATACACTTGGTTCGTTGTTGTTGTTGTTATATATTTAAATGTTCGAGTTTGATGATAGTCCATAAACATGAGCCCAATTACAAATATGATAATTGATTATTGTGTTGTGTATTTATGTGCTTGGTGGGTATAGTGTGACAGTGAGTATAGGCTCAACCCAATGAAGCTCGTAATGGAAGACCCATCAGGGTTTCATTAATTGCAGTTGTGTATGGTAGCTATCTCATTTATGCTGCCATATTGGAGAAAGGACAAAAGAGACAAGGTCAATTGTGGCATAACTCAAACAAGTACACAACAGCTCTTGCTAATCCAAATTATATAGTTGAGCCGAGGGTCTTTCGGAAACAGCCTCTCTATCCCCGGTATAGAGATAAGCTTTATATACAGTAATGGGATTCTACTGGATTGTTGTTATATAGTCTCTAATATCATGTTTGATCTTGAGTTATATTGTGTTAATATTCATACAAATTGGGCTCATAATTCCAACTCCTAATTCAGGGTCCCATGGAATTGTATCCATCTCCTGAGCATGGTCCATATGGGGAACAAAGACACAGACCCCAAATTTCCAAGTGGCAACCTCAAATTGTTTCACTACTATTCCATTCTTTAATGAAAAAACAAATTGAAAATTTCACAAACAATGCTCAATTTTGCCCATACTCTATATATATATAGCAGTTGGTCACAACCTCTCTTATCATCAGAAAACATACACTTGACATCCCTTGTGAGCTGCAAATTTTATAATAATACACCAAAAGTTGCTATGGCTTATCATCTAGTCAATCCAGACATGCAAATCAATAATCCATCATTTTCTGTATTTAACACTGACTCCAGCTTGAATTTCAATAACCAGTTTCCTCAACTAGACCTGAACCCCACTTCCTTGGATATGTCAAACTTCAATTTTCAGAGCTTTGTTGGATTTTCCCATGAAAATATTTTAACCCAAGCACCTGAATTCCCAGTTTGTTTAACAGAAAATTTCCATGGAAATTCTCAAGAAGATGACAAGAATATGGTTGTTCACGCTATGCCAACGCTCACAATCCAAGCTAGAAATGACATCAATGAAAGCAAGAAGAGGAAATCAATAGAGACCCCAGAAAGCAGCTCTGCATATTCATCCCCTGCAGTTTCTTGGAGTGGGACCAACAGAAAAACTGTGAGTAATTCTTGAATTCTTAGTACTCTCTCCATAGTAACCTAGCCAGAAATTCTAATAAGAAACCAACATAGCCTCACTAGTGGGGTCAGGGGAGGGTAGATAGTAGACAGGCCTTACCTCTATAGTGAATATAGATAGGCTATTTCCAGTAGACCCTCGGGTGGGTATGGGGAGGGTAGATAGTACACAGACCTTACCCCTATAGTGAATGTAGAGAGGCTGTTTTCAGTAGACTCCCGACTGGGGTCTGGGGAGGGTAGATAGTACACGGACTTTACTCCTATAGTGAATGTAAAGAGGTTGTTTCCGGTAGACGCTCGAGTGGGGTATGAGGAGGGTAGATAGTACACAGACCTTACCCATATAGTAAATGTAGAAAGGTTGTTTCCAGTAGACCCTCGGCGCACGAGGAAAAAGAAATTCTAATAAGGGCCTTCAAGAAAATGCAAGAATGTCACACTGCAATCTGAAGCAATTTTGGAACCACATTTGTCGTTGCACTATAAACTCCACTTATCAATGAGATTCAACAATTTATATATATATACAAAAAGTATTTGTTTTCTGATGAATGGATTTAATGGAACCCTCTTTAAACAACCATGTCTGTACTTAAAAGTTTACATTTAATATACATGGTGCTGATACCTCAGTTTGGACATTGACAGAGTAAAGGAAAAGGAAAGAAAGTGAAAAATGATGAAAAGGAAGAAGACAACCCAAGGCAAGTGGTGCATGTAAGAGCCAAGAGAGGTCAAGCAACTGATAGTCACAGTTTAGCTGAAAGGGTAAATGTTATTTTTCATCGTCTGGAAAATTGTTTTTTCCACTTATGAATTTGTAATGACTAATGCATTTTTTTTCTATTAATTTAGGTGAGAAGAGGAAAAATTAATGAAAGACTTAGGTGTTTGCAAGACATTGTTCCTGGATGTTACAAGGTAATATCTTTTTTTTTTCTTTCTATTTTTGAACAATACATCTTCATTGTAATTAATACAAAGATTATGATTTCTCTTAGAAATAAACAGGAAGAATTTTAACATAATAATGTCCTTTTTCAATCAAATTGCAGTCTATGGGCATGGCAGTAATGTTGGATGAAATAATTAACTACGTGCAATCCTTGCAAAATCAAGTGGAGGTGAGTTGAAATCAGTACAATAACTTTTTCTGATTGACAAAAAAAAAGGGAACAAATATTTGACTCTTTTTTTTTTTTTTTGGGATTCAGTTCCTCTCAATGAAGCTTTCTGCAGCAAGCATATATAATAACTTCAACTCAGAGACAGACATTTTGGAGACGTTGCAGGTAATCTTTTATATTTTTCTTGGTTTTTAGTCTTATATATACTTTTTCGTAATAATTCGTGAGTATTTTTCACTCAAAGAAAATTTTAATATGCATTGACTAAAGATTAATCAGGTTAGATTATAAGTTACACATAGACAATATAAAAATATTTTAAATTATAGTGTAATTTAACATGTGATAGTAAGTTGCTTGCTATTTTTATCAGCTAGCAATTAGTAATACTTATAATAGAAATTTGCTTGTAATTACTTTGTAAATGATATAATTGTGTAAATATTTTTTATATTGTCAATCTATTAAATGAAGGGGAGCCTTGGAGCAATAATAAAGTTGTCTTTGTGTGACCTATAGATCACGAGTTTGAGCCGTGGAAGTAACCACTAATGTTTGCATTAGGTTAGGCTGTCTACATCATACCCCTTGGGATGCCGCCCTTCTGTAGACCCTGCGTGAATGCAAAATATTTTGTGCATCGGACTGCCCCTTTTATTGTCAATCTATTGAACTTAAACTGATTAGGACAATTGTATGTTGCAGATAGCAAAGGCATATGAAGCACATATAATGCAGAAGCTAAGGAAAGAAGGATGTGAAGGGGTGTCTTCTTCTAATCAAATTGGCCCTCTTGACCACAGTTTTGGTTGCTATCCCCAGTTGCCTTACAACACCTAAATATTCTGATCAATATTTCTCCCACTTAGTAGTATACACATTTGTAATTTTGTACACATGCAAAACTCAGAAATTTGATTAATTAATTCTTGTATCAACCTCACATTATAGTTCTTGCGTTCCAATTTAACAAAATTATTGAAATTAAATAGTACAAACTATCTTTTACTCTTTCAACCTACTTAAATTTTCGAAAAGGGGCTGAAATTACCCCTGTACTTTGGAAGTTATTTATATCTTACCTTCGTACAAATTTTCGAATAAATTTGCCCTCGTCGTAGGGTCACATATACCCAGGGGCGCATCCAGAAGTCCTTTTCTGCATTTTCTCTTCATGTCTTGATCCCCCTGCTTCGTAACGACTTACTGATCGCTGCACTTTACATGTCAATTTTCAAAGATTGCTTTTTTCGTTTTCCTTAAAAAAATAGTAAGTATGGGTTATAGCAAAGATATGAGTTATGTCACATGTTTATGGGATCTGACCAATTTCTTGCGTATAACCTTTGATTGGGCCATGATGGAAGAGCACTTTTTATGATAGTCATATTAATAGCTGTGAATCTGAGGCATCGATGCCTACACAAATAAGGGCTTGACTTTCAGTGGAAATTTCAACTTGAAGTCTTTAAATTTTCAAAGCTGGATAACTGAGATAAACAATAGATAAATTTATATATATATATATATATATATATATATATATATATATATATATTTAATGAGGTTTGTTGTTGTAATTCTGTTCAATTAGCAATGGAAAGAAAAAGTGAGAGAGAAATTAATATAAACAAAATCAAAGTAATGGAAGTGCATAGAATACAGTTCTTAGTGAAAAAGTTGAGTTTAGCCACCTTATTTATCCGTTCTTCTTCTTCATTCCCTTTTCCCTTTCTAAAGAAAAATAAATGCAGCCTGTTTCTATTTGATTATGGAGATCTACCATTGTTGTTGGCCTACAATATTGACAAATAGATGGCATATTCAAATTTAGTTGATGTTATTTGAAGTTCAGCACTGCTGGTAAGAAACAAAAAAACCGTTAGGATTAAAAGAACATAAATGTAGATTTTCGGTAAGGCGCTTATATAGTTAGTTAGTGTGTTGTTTTTCCTTCACATGGATATGCAACAATGTAACAACCCAATCGGTCGTTTTGAGCATTTGTACTTTGCTAGGTAGTCTGGGGGCATGAGTAATTCCGTATGATGTATTATGACTTGTGTGCAAAATTTACGCTCATTCCGAGTTGATTTGATATGTTTCAACACGAGCTTTGAAAGTTGGAAGATTCAAAGTTCAATGTATTTGATTCGAGGTGGGATTCGTCGTTTCGATGTTGTTATACGTGATTTGAGGCCTCGAGTAAGTTCGTGTTATGATATCGGACTTGTTGGGATGTTCGGACATGGTCCCGAGGGGCTCGGGGATGTTTTGGAACGAATTCGGATTATTTTCCTTCATTTTAGCATTGCTGGTTCTGCTGAGCATCCGGTTTCCTTGTTCGCGATCGCGTAGAATTAATCGCGATTGCGTAGAGTTGTTTGATGGCTGGGGGATCGCGTTCGCGAGTCCTCAAACGCATTCGTGTAGGTTGCTGCAGATTGAGTATCGCGGTGCGCAACTATGCACGCGGTTGCGTAGTGATTTGGGCTGAATTGGGCAGAGGTTGGTTCCTTCTTCGCGTTCGCATTGAATTTGTTGTGATCGCATAGTTCAGATGAATGTAGTCATCGCGTTCACATGGATAGTTACGCGATCGCGTAGGGTATTTGTTGGGAGGCAATGATGGTTGTTCTTCGCGTTAGCAAAGGTTGCTCCGTGATCGCGGAGGGTAATTTTGGGCAGTGCATTTTTCTTCTTTGCGATCACGATGGTATTTTGGTCACGCCCAACTATGCCTTATAAAAAGGACAATGCGGTCGTTGCAAATATAATCCGGTTTACAAGTCCGGAGTTGAATCCCACAGAGAATTAACCTATCAATTACCTTTGTTGGAATCACTAAATTCTTTATAATCAACTTCCCCAAACGTTGTAAACAATAGTTGATGGTATTTCCACTAACTAAGATTGAAAGTAAATAAACAGTTGTAAACTAAGTATGCTTGGGTTGTAAACAATAATGAGAAGGTTCTAAGGTAGTGATTTCCCCTATTGATGGAATCCCTTCCGGTTATGTTTCATATAGATTCACCAAAACATCTCTATCAATCATGAGCACTCTTTTTACCGTAAATCTTTTCCGAGTAATCGCGATAATTTACTAGACGCACTCTCCCGAGATACGCTAGCTGACTTTGTTTATTACAACTCATTTTAGATTGCACCCAAGGCTTTGTTATCCCTAATCCGCCTTTAAACCCGCAGTTATAGATCCCTCTTATACTTTGGGAGTGGTGTTGTTCAACAATTACCTAAATATGCACTCTCTCCCGAGTTATGCACAGGCACAACTAATTGAGGATCCTGTCAATTAACTATAACAAACACGTAGTTGAACAAATAGAGATTAACTGGCAAACTATATTAACATAATCAAGAAGTTTATCCTTCAATAGGTTCCATCAAAACCTTAGACTAAAGTATTTAGCTACTCATAAAAATAACAAAATCACAAAAAAATTCATATTCAAAGGTAAAAGAACAAAGAAGAAGATTAAAGATTGATGCCCAATGATCCTCCTTGCTTCTTGCCCTTCCTTATGATGTTTTTCACTTCCAAAAATCCTTCTCTTTCGCTGTTGGCCGGCCTCCCTCGTTTAATATAGGGTTTAGGGCTTAAAATCTCATATTTTGCACTTTAGTCCCTGAAATTTATGCGTCCTGCCGCGGTCCCACCGCGGTTACGCTAGGACGGCGGCCAGAATGGTCCTCTGAATCTTTGGTAATGATCTGCCACGGTCCTACCGCGGTACTACCGTAACCGTGATTTTTCACCCTGTTCCTTTTGGAATTTGGAAAAACGTAAAATACAAAAGTTGTAGCCCTTTGAGCTAGATTTCCAACCGTATATTGTGGAGACCAAATGGAGTTCTGAGCAAAAAGTTATGTCTATTTTACTAGATAGTGCACAATATGCCTCCTCGAGTCTTCGTTTTGTTGTTTTATCATCCGTTGATCCCCGAATACGATCCCGGCTTAATTCCTTGGGCTTTTACTCAGACTTCAAAGCTCCAAATCACTTGAATTCATTCCATAACATCTATATATCTCGGAATCACTCCTACAAGGCATAAAACACACCGTTAGTGCAAAACACCAGCGATTAAAGCGCAAACTCAACTAAAGTGCAGTAAATTAGAGTGTAATAAGCGACTAAAATATGCAATTATAGCCTATCATCATATTTCCGCGATCGCGATTCATTAATTCGCCTAGTGATTATAAAGTACTATATCTCGGAGGTTTGGGCCATTTTATCATATTTGGAGCTATGGAGCTCAGATTGAAGTGATTTTTAGGCGATTTTTACCACATGGATTGGGGTAAGTGTTCTCTCCTCTATTTTGATTATATTTCACGAATCTATCTTCATTTGTGGCAATTGGTTGATGAATTCAAAAGAGAAATCGAGGATTTTTGTTTAAAGTTTCAAGAGTGAATTTTGAATTTTTGAACATCGATTTGGGGTGGGATTTGAGTAAAACTAGTATGGTTGGACTTGTAATTGAATGGGTTATCGAATTTTATTTTGATGGGTTCCGAGGTGCAAGCCTGGTTTGACGTTTTGGTTGACTTTAGGCTTTTTATTAAGATTCGACCTTTATTATTTGGAATTATTTCCTTAGGCATTATTTGATGTATTTGAGTTGCTTTTGACTAGTTTCGAGTCGTTCGGAGGTCGGTACACATGGGTGATCGGCTCCAACCCTATACCACTATAAAATGGCAAGAGTGGTCGATGCAACTTTTACCCGAAAGGTCGGGATAGATATCCACAAGGAGCTAATATTGGTTGGGAGTTGGGTTCATATCCAATCTAGCTATGCGTGTTGCTCTTATTGCACTTCTAAACATGTTTGGATTTATTACTATTCTACTTTTAATGCTATTGATTGCTGAAAATAAACTAAGTACAATATTTTGTAGGGTTTTCCTCAATTGATAAAAAGCACTAGGGAAGTGACTTACACCTAGGCGAGTATCTAATGAGGTCTAGAATTTAGGACAGACTTGTTATATTTGGGATCATGATATAACCTTTGCACATAGTTACTCACTCTATACCTCTCGGTAGTTTGAGTGACTTGGCCCTAATTGGCTTTCTCAAGCCCAATTGGGTGTTTAAACAATGCAAGCAAAATTGGCTCAAGTCGGGTATTACTATCTCTAGGTTTAACCCTTTAATTGGGGCTATCAATCTCTTGAATGCACCTCAATTCCTTGTTAGCCTGAATTTCCTAGACTTAGTCTCTCTTTCTCAAGAAGAGTCTAAGTCAAAAAGGTACAAATCAGTATTTGCAACCACCAATTCAACAATTAAAGCATATCAAGCTAAATATCATTAATCCATAAACACTTAAGCCCTAAAATATAAGACCCATTAAATACCCACACTAGGGTTGGGTCACGACCCTAGCTAATGATTTAGATACTCATAATCAAGGTAGAAATCAGAGATGAAGATGAAATATAAGCCATAAAAGTTGATTACAAGAACAAAATCTAAGATTAATAGCTAAAGCTGCTCTCAAATTACTCTAAGTAGTAAAATACGACTGTTGACGAGCTCCTCAAAACAAAAGATGACCTAAAAATGGGAAAAAGATCTATTTATACACAGCTAAAATTACTGGACAAAAATACCCCTATGGAGGTTTCGCTGTCAGCGCAATACTGAGCGCCTCAGCGCTTGAACTTTCGCGACCGCGCAAAAGCAAGCGGACCGCGTTTCTTCCATTTTAGACTGGGACTGAGCTTGATTTCGCTGGGAGCGTAAAAGAGACCGCCTCAACGTTGTCTTCAAGCGCGGTCGCGTAAAATGTTCGCGAACCATGCTTTCATTTGAGCTCAAATTTCCAGGCCTCTGAATCTCTATTTCGCCCTCAGCGGAATTTGCACAGCGGCCGCGTCAGGTATTCCGCGGCCGCACTAT